TGGCAGGGTGGGGGGTGGTGGGGATGCCTGGTGTGGGGAGTGGGCTGTGGGGTGCAGCGGGGACCCCCCGTGCCTGGGCTCCGGTGCTGCCAGGGGTTGCCAAAGGGGACCCATGCTTGCCAGTGGATTTGGGAATATTTATGGTAATCAGGGCAGGTGCTGGCTGTGAGGGGGCTGGGGACAGGGGGCACCACCACAGCGGTGATGCCGTAGTGAGAGGGGCTCTGTCCCCCAGCCCCAGGTCACGGGGAGCACCCGCTGATGGAGCCGAGCACCCTGTCCCCCCCAGCTGCCCTGGTGCTGCCCTGCTGCTGTTCCCTCCCCTTCCCAGCTGCCCCATGTGGCTCCCAACTGCCCTGGGTGCCCAGCTTTGCCCCCTCCCTTCTCCTCTCCCTTCTCCCTCCTCCTCCTCACTTGGGGCAGTCGTCCCAGGGGTGGGCAGGGGTCCAAGCGGGCTCCTGCCTGCTCCTGGCCAAGCTGATGGTTTCTCTTCCTTTTCTGGTCTCCCTCCCCATCTCGATCTTCCCCGCAGCTGAAAGCATCACCGCAGGAGGAGCCTGGGAAGGACGCGACAAAAATAAGTGTGAGTTTGGCTAATGGTCCTCGCAGAGGCTCCGGTGGAGCTGGAATGTTTCCCTGCCGTGACAGCACTCAGCGGTGCATGGAGCTGGGACGGGTGGGAGGGTCTCCTGGGGTTTGTGTCTCCATGGGGTGCCCCGGAGGGGGTGTCCTGGGAGGCGGTGGGGATGTGTACTGGTCCTGCCAGTGGTGCCGTGCCAGTGCTGTGGGCTGGCAGCACTGGGATGGGTGGGCTTGATCATCCCTGGCTCGTCTCTGGGAGCAGCCAGGACAAGGGGCAGCTGCCCCTCTCCCCCCACCAGGAATGGGGGGGTCACAGCCTGGACCCTGAGCCCCGTCTGGCTCCTGTTGACATCTGAGGGACGCGTTTGTGCTAAGGAGAAAATAATCTAATTTAGTCGCCGGATTAGCATCCCAAAGCCATTTAGGCTCATGTGAACAGAACAAGGAGACACTAATCAGTTAAATGAAATAAACGCTCTTGGCCTCCTGCTGTCAGGCCTGTGCCACCCCCCCTCCCGCCCCCGCTGCCACTGTCCCTCCCCACCTCGGGGGGCTCTGTGTTTGGGGGTGCCACAGAAAAGGAGCAATATTGGAAAGGTCTTCCCACCATCGCTCCTGCAGCCTCTTCTGCCTCTTCCATTTTTCCCTCACTGAGTTAGCAATGGGGCTTGCCGTGCTCCTCGGGGCCAGGTGCTCCCAGTGCCCAGGAACAGCCCTTCTGCCTGAGCCTCATCCCCGGGAAATGACAGAGTCAGGAATATGCCAGGAAACTTCCCAATGGAGGGCATTGCCTCTCATCTCCCATCTGTGGGGGTCAGTGTGTGTAGATTCTCTGCCGGCAATGACTCCCACATGGGGACCATACCCCCTTTGATCTGTTCATGTTGTGGCTTCTGAGGTTTCAGCCCTGTTTGTCACCGTTCCTGTGCTGGGGCACTGTGATGCACCCACAATCCGTGTCCAAACTCCAGCAGGTGCCTTCAAACTCCTCGCTGGGATGCTGTGGCTTCCTGCCCCCTGAGCAGGGGCTGCTGCCAGGGTGGCCAGAGCCCCAGGGGATGATGCTGCCCACCACGGGCAACAAGACCCGGCAGGAATCTTTGCAAACCACTGCTTGCATGGCCCGGGGGTACTGCTGGTCCCCCCCATCCCACCCCAACCCTGCTCCTAGTGTGCAGCGCTTTGCCCCCCAGTGAGGATGCTGGGGTCCTGATGCCCACCAGGTGCAATGGGCAGTTTGCAGCCAGAGGTTGGTGGCCAAATCCTGCACTGGGCAAGGACGTGTGGCTGGGAGCTGGTGGGTGCTGTTAGAGCCAAGGGAAGGCAGGTCCCACGGCACGGCCAGCTCAGCCGGGGTGGCAGGAGGGCCCAAGGTGGGTGCTGGGGCTGAGGAGCCATCCCGGGGCCAGCGTGCCCGCTCAGCTCAGCCGTTGCATTTTTCAGCATAATTAGGCAGTTAATTGCACGCTGGAATGTAATCGATGCGTGTGCATGTGTAACCAGGATTTATTTTGAAGTGCTTGGGGTGCGACGCTTCCGCCACCCCCTTCAGATCAAGCCAGCAGGGAGAGGCTTGAGTTTTAAACCTTTTTTGTTGTTGTTGTTGTTATTTTAAATGTCCTTGATTATTAAGTGTTTATGGAATGGAGGAGATAAATGAACACAAACGAGACACCCCCACGAGCGGTTCTGGTAAAATGTGCGTTACAGCCACGGAGGCAATTGACTGAGAACAAACGGCAGCGTCAAACAATGCGAGACGATGTAAATCAGATGCAGAAACCACCGCGTCAGGCACCCCCTTGGCCATTTTTTATGCACCAAAACGCACTCGGGGCCGGAGGGTGCCGGCACCAGCTCTGCCCGGAGCCACTGTGCCTTGCAGGGATGCAGAGAGGGAACCTGCTGCTGCCTTTTGCTGTGTGCTAGCAGACATGATGGGTCTGGATTTATTTTTCCCCCACCTTGAATTCTTTAAACCCTCTGTTTTGCTGCCGAGCAGTGGTACGTTGCAGGGCTGAGCTGGGGCTGGGCACTGCCGTGGCCGTCTGTCTGTCCCAGCCCATGGGGGGGTCTCTCCCCCCGGTTGCCGTGGGGCAGCAGGTGCTGTCACTGCTCTGCCCAAGCCTGTGAAGCCGTGAGTGTTACGACTGGTCATAAAATTATCCCTCCTGCTCATAACCGAGCCGCGGGCTGTGGCTCAGTGACCTGCTGGCACAGGCTCCACGGCCACCGGTGACACCAGCAAATTGGGGGTTTCTTTTATTAGTTCTACATTTCCCAGCCATTAATTTCCATAAGTGACTTCTTGCTCTTCCAACACAAAGGATGTTTTTTTTTTTTGAAGCTCCTTTCCTGTGATGGCCTCGGTGCCCTGGCACGCTCACCCCAGGGCTGGCAGCTCACATCCCTCCCTCCCCACAGCATCCCCCACCCCGTCTTGGGCACAGCTTGGGTCCTGCCTTGTCCTGTCCTCCCCGGACCCCCATTCCCAGCACTTCAGGATGGGTGCATGTAGGCTCAGAGCAGCCCCAGAGCCACTTGTTGCGGTGGCCCTGGCCATGATGTGCGGCACTGGCCACCTCTCAGCAGCCCGTGGTGCGCAGGGTGGCCAAACGCAGCTGCTCACGTGTGCCATGTGTGCTCACGTGTGCCTGTGTGTGAAGGCACTGACTGTCCCGGTGCTTGTGGCAGCTCAGGGTCCCCGTCCCCATGCTGCCACCCGCATTTTGGCTCTGCCTCTTGGGCTGGGAGTTTGCTGCTCTTTGGTTGTGGCTCCCAGCCCCGTTTCTAAACATCATAAAATCTTCAGCTAACAAATGCAGCGGCAAGTAGAAAAATGGCCTTTGCCATCCAGTGTGATTATAGGGAACAGAGCCAGGGGCCTCGGGGCGGGTTATAAATCTGATTTATTGACCCAGCCCAACAGCAGCCGCAGCTCGGGCTAGTGAGTAAGTCTTAAATTTCATTGGGTGATAAATACTGAGAGCGAATCAATTTGGTAGAAAAGCTAATTAGCCGGCGTGGTTCCGCATCGATCTCCGAGCCCCGCGTGGCCGGGTGCGCACCAGGGACTCCATCATCCCGTGGTCCAGGGCTGGGGTTGGAGGACCCCCATATTGGTTGTCCAGCTTTCCCCACCCTCGCCAGGTGGCTGGGGGGCAGCGTGGTGGCATGCAGTGAGGGATGGGACCGAGATGGGTGCCTGGGGGTCCCGGGGGGCTGCCTGACCCCCTGTCTGCCCCACGGCAGGTGGTGAAGGTGGTTGGCAGCAACATCTCCCACAAGCTGCGTCTGTCGCGGGTGAAGCCGGCGGACGAGGGGACGTACGAGTGCCGGGTGATCGACTCCAGCGACGGCAAAGCGCGGCACCACAAGGTGAAGGCGTACCTGCGGGTGGAGGCGGCGGGGGGCGTGGGGCACCCCCAGGACACCCAGCTGCGGGGCGCCCCGCTGCCGGACCCCGCCGCGCCGGGCTCGGCCCACGCGCACCACCATCACCACCACCACAAAGCCGGGAAGGAGCTGAAGAAGCGCTCGGTGGACGCCTCCTGCGCGCTGTAGGCAGGCGGTGCCGGGGGGATGCTGGAGCCCCACCGCCCCCACACCGCCGCCCCGGACTCAGCGGAGCCATCAAGGGTCCCGCGCCCCCTGCCAGAGACTGGCCCCACCACCCCATCGTGCCCACTGACCCCCACCGCCTCCTCCTCCCGTCGGTCACCGCCGGCTCGGTTTCTTCCCCGGCCCTGAGGCGCGGCGGTGCCAGGGCTCGGTGTGGGAGCAGGACCGTATCTGCGCTGGGGGGGCATCGGTGGGACTGTGCCCAGGGCCAGGGCATTCACCCACACATGGTGCTCACTGGCCCCACACAGGGGGGCACCACGCTGCTTGCTGCCACGGGCCACCTTGTGCCCAGCTTTGTGTGCCCGGTGGAGGCTCCCCCCCCACCACCACCCATGGGACCCTCACCACCCTCCCTTGTGCTTTGCAGAACCACCCGTCAGTTCCCGTAGGAGGCCCAGTTTAGTTGCTCCCCTCCAGCCCCGCAGTGCACACGTATAAGTTCCATCATCCATCCATCTTACAGACCCTCTATATTGCCTCTCCCTGCCCTTGCCTGCCCCAAAGCCGCCCACATACGTCGAGGCCTGAGCTCAGCGGAGGAAGGACGGCACGGCACACTCCTGGCACGCTCCCGGCACACTCCTGGCACGCTCCTGGCACGGCCAGTGGGCACTGCGGGATGTGCTGTGGCATTGCCCAGCCAGGCAGTTGCCCACAGTCCGTGTGTGCCCGGGGAGCTGTGCCATCAGAACTGGCCCGCTTGCACCCATTTCTGCTCCCGGCCCTTTGCATTTCATGGAGGAAGAGGAGCTCGGCCGTCAGCTCCGGATGCCCTCACTCCGTGCCTGCTGTCGGTGGAGCTCTCGGTCCCCTGTTCCTGGCCAAGCTCCCCCTCCTCCTGCGCCATGGCACCACAGCTCACGGGCTCCTGTGTCACAGTGCAAATGGCAGAGCCCATCCCCTGTGTCCCCCCACCCCCGGGGAAACACTGCCGCTGGGGACCGGGGTCACAGGGAGGGAGAGGGGGGGTCCCGGGTTCTCCCCATCTGGGTGCCGGGCGCTGCTCCCCTGCCGCCGCTCGCCCTCGCCGCCTCGCCTGCCGCCACCAGACCTGCTGCAGCTAATAAAGCTCTTTAAACAAAGCCTCTGTGGGTCTGTGGTGTCTCTCCCTGGCACAGCCAGGGGGTGTGGCTTTGGCACTGTTTTGGCTAAAAAGGGGGGGCACAGCTGGGGCTCCCCCCAGGGGCTGCTGGGCTGGGTGAGGATGAGGATGAGCATCATCACCCACAGCTGAGGGCTCAGAGCATTTAAAAGCTGCAGCTGGGGAGACCCCTGCCCTGCCTGGGAGCTGGGTGATGCTGTCCTGTGGGTGCAGGATATGGCTGGGTCTCAGGTGAGAGGGGGCTGCCCCACACCCTGGCCATGGGGTGCTGGGTGGGCTGCTGGGGGTCTGGGTGGGCTGCTGGAGGTCTGGCACCTTTTTGTGCTGCCATGTGCCAGCTTCAACCCCTTCCTGTGTGCGTGGAGGAAAGGCCTCACCTCTGGCTGAGAGGGAGGTTGGGGTCCCCAAAGTGGGGGTGCTGGCTGCACCCCCCTAGGGCTGGGCTCTGCCCTATAGCAGGAGAGAAGCTCCCAGCACTGGCAGTGCCTGGCTTGGCCCCAGCTGCCAGGAGTCCCCCCCCTCCAAACCCTTGGCTGCTTTGGAGCTTATTAATCCCTGGAGCTCCATAGCACTCACCTCTCGCTTTGCTGATATGAAGCGATTTGTCATGTGTTAGAGTAACAAAAGCAAAAGCCGCTGGCCCGGTGTCAGCCAGTGCTGGCGGCAGAGGAAGGGGCACAGCGCGGCTGGTGACCACGGGATGTGGCCAGAGCCAGGCTCTCCTTTACCACCCGCCATGGCTCTTGCCTGGGGAGCCGTGGTCTCAGGGGAGCAAAAGGCACAGGAGCTGGAAAACACGCGGGGTGCTTGTCAGGAGAGAAATATTAAGCAGTGGCAGGGCAAGGAGGGGGGGCCTGGTGTTGGAAATGCTGCTTTGCCATGAGCAATAAGAGCCTCTGTGTCGTACTCTCCCCAGCAGAGCTGCGGGGGCTTGTGCTGCACTTGGATGCTCCTTGTCAGGGAACTGTATCACTTTTTTTTGGGGGGGGGAGAGGGACCAGGAGGCATCGGCCACCGGCGCAATAAAAAACAGCCTCCAGAGGAGGAAAGCGAAGAGCAGGAGCTGCTTTGGCGGGGGTAAAAGGCTGCAAATCACCTTAAAATGGAGAGTAAACAAATTGCTGTGTGGGGTAGTAATTTGCAAAACCTAGAGGCGAGCTTTAAAAGTAATGGGTTTTATTAGAAGAGATTAATTTTGCTGAGTTTATGTGAAACCTTGGAAGCAGGAGTCGGAGGAGAAGCCCCCACTGTGTGTGGGACCCTGCAGCCCTGCAGCAGCACCCGACCCCTGGGGGGACTGCATGTGGGGCCGTGACCCCAGACCCATATGTGAGGGTCTCCCCATGTCTGTGGCTGGGTTTGTGGATGGAAGAGGAGGCTGGACATGGGTTTCCCGGCTCTTCATCCCTGGGGAGGGTGGTTGGAGCTGGGTAACCTGGCTGGCATCCCGTCTCATGGTGCTTGGGAAGGGCTGTGCCACCCAAGCAGGGGGCAGCTGCCTGCTGGTGCCAGATCCCCTCCAGGACAGTGAGGGTGCTTGATGGGCTGGAGCTGGGCACCCCTCCTGCACCCTGGGGTGCTGCCCCCAGCTCCTCCCGGACCCCAGCAGGTTGGGGGCTGCTTGGTTGTGGGTCTGGGGAGCAGGGTGAGGGCAGGGCAGCTGAGAACCCCCCTGGGCTCACTTGCAAATGGGCTGAGCTTAATATGCAAGTCACTGCTGGGGAGGAACCAGCCTCATGAAAATGCCATTTCCACGCAGTCACTCTTCTGGCCATTATCCTGCTTCAGACAAAAGCAATTTACTCTTGCCTGTAATAAAGCAGGGGTGATAACGAAGCTGAGAAGAGCCGTGACAGGCAGCTGTGTGACAGGCCCAGCCTCTCCCTGCTGCCCAGGGATGGTGGCCGTGGGGAAAATCTCTGGGAGAGCCAAGAAACCTGGAGAGAGCACAGGGAGAAACCGGTGCTGGGACTCAGGAGGTGCCGCTGTGCAGATGGTTGTGCCAGAGTCCTGGCTGGGGGCATGTGGCCGGTTCCTGGGCTTTGGGGCATGCACCAGTGAAGAGCAGCAGCTCCTGTGCTGGGAAGGGGCAGCACAGTGGGTCCTGCCCTGTCCCTGAGGGCTGTCATGAGGACCTAAGCACTCTGGTCCCTGCTACTGCCAGGGCAGTGACCTGCTGTCTTGGCACAATGTGCCACAGCAGCCCCTGAGGCCTCTCAGCATCCCTCCAGGAGCCCAGCTTCATGCCCAGCTGGTGCCACCGCCTGGCTCAGCAGTGGGGGCTCCATCAGCCCCAAAACCAGAAGGCTGAGATACGGGGTCACCAGGAAGCCCATGCTGGAGTGGCAGCCCAAGGCCCCTTTCCCGATGGATGCAGCTGATCCCAGTTGCTCTCTCCCCCCCTCCGCAGCTTCATTACATGGGGATGATGGTAATTAAGAGAACTTTTCTAATTCCTCTCCTGTTGTCACAGCCCTCCTGCTGTCTGTACCGTCCTGCTGAGAAGCAGCAGCCACTGCCTCCCTTGCTTAGCCCGTGTTTGGGAGGGAGTTGTGGGGCTGGTGTGGGCTCTGGTGTGGTGCAATGAGACCTCTGACCATGGGGCACGTCCTGGCAGGCTGTGGGGATGATGGGGATCTGTGGCCCTGAGATGTTACACCTGCTGGAGATGGCTTTGCTCCCAGCCCTGCCTGTAGGAGCCGTGGCTGCACAGTCCCCACCGTGGCTGTTAAGCCCCTGGGAACAGGGGCTAAACGTGGACACGACCCCAGGGGTTGTGTGGGGGTTGGCAGGGATGGGGGCAAGGACTTGGATGTGCCAGTGCTGCCCTTGAGCCTCGTGCCTGTCCTCCTGTGGGGTGGTGTGCATTGAGGTGGGTGCAGGCAGGCTGGTGGCCTCAGGGACACCACTGCTGTGGTCCACAGGGTCCTTGGGACGCTGCTGGAACCTGGGGAGGGTTCCCAGGGCTGGTGCTGGGGAGGTGTTTCGCTGTGGTGGATGCTGCAGTAGATGGAGAGGTGGATACTGCAGATGCTGTCTGGTTTTGTGCTTTTCCTTTCAGAAACATGTATAACTTTATTCTAAAAAAAAAAAAAAAGAGAGAAAGCTAGAACAGAGGTTATTGGTTTTTCTTTTAAGCTTGCCTTATCTGGGCGGAGGTGGATCCAGCAAGGCTGGGCTTCTCCTGTTTCCCAGAGGTGACCAATTTGGACAGATCAGAGCACGTGCAGACAAATCCCTTGTGTGTCTGCAGCCCGTGCCCGGTGATGCCCGGCTTCTGGCCAGGCTGGTTTGGGGGCTGGTACCGAGCTGCAGGAAGATGGCACAGGTTCCCCGTGGCAATGTTTTGCTTGTACCTCCCCGACAAGAGGTGCACCCCGTGAGGAGCCTGTGACAGCCCCGTGCTGGTGGGTGCGGGGAGAGGCGGTGGGTGGGGAGAGCAGAACAGATGGTTTGGGCAGGAGCACCATCACCGTGCTGCTGATGTCTCACACGTGAGCTCCAGCCAGCGCTGAAGGCACGGCAGAGACGGGCTGGATGCGGCTCCTGCCCCTGATGGATGAGTTTTATCAAGTGCTACAACAATCCAGAAAATTCTGCACCAACCCCAAGGGTGCTTCAGAGACCAAAGGTAATATTTCACCTTTCCGCCTCTCCCGTCTCCCCCTGTCAGAGCAGCTCTGAAGGGCTCCTCTGTACAAAATCCAACCCAGTGTTAAGCACTGAATATATATTTTAAAAAGCCTAAGAGGGTAAAAGCTGAGCTGCAGCCCTGTCCTACCTGGCAAAAAGGCACTGAATTGTGTTTTTCCTGGAGGAGCAACCGGGAGTAAAGCCTGAGCAATCCCAGGGAGGGAAGGGGAGGTACTCCCAGCCGAGGGGGTGCTGGCATCAGCAGCAGTCCCCCTGACCCCAACAGCTGAGATGCGTTTTGGACACTCACCCAGGATCCCCAACTGCCATACACAAAGCCTGTTCCACGTAACAATCAAGTTTATTGCTTTGGTTTTTGCATTTCTGTGTTTGCTTCCAAATTTACAGTCAAGACCCCTTAGTCTTGCTAGCATCAAACTTTCCCAAGCGTCAGGAGGCAACTTGCTGCCAAGAGTCTCTCTGGGCAAAGCTGATGAATCCTGGATTTGGCTGGTCTGGGAGCAGCCAAGTAAAGCAGCACCTGCAGAGTGTCTCTGGGGATGCAGCCTGGAGGACTCAGAGCTGGAATCCACCCAGCAGCTCCCACGCCGTGTGCTGGAGGGGAGGCCCTTTGGCAGGGGCAGCAAGACCCCAAAGCCTCGTCATCCTCACCATGTCGTGCTGTTCCTGCTCAAGCCAAGCGTGGCACTGCCGTGGTACCACCATGCTCACACCCAGTGTCACCTCCTGCATCGTCTGACCACGTACATACCCACCTGGGGGCTGTACCGGGGCACAGGTAGATACTTCATCTGGTTCTCCTTGGGGTGGCTGTCAAAAATCTGAGAGTTTTAAGAAACGGCCTGTGAGAATGACAGGCAATCTGGGAACGAGGAGGAGTCTTAAATCACTCACAAGCTGTAAATCAGGGCTGGCTGCTTTTTCTAAAGCAAGTCTTGTTCTCAGCGGTCAGAGTCCGGGAGCACCACGCATTTGACTGGTCCCAGCAGCCTCTCTCAGCAAACTGCAACCTACAAGGAACAGCCCTGATCCTTCTAAGAGGACATGGTGTTCTTGCCAGTAATACTGGTGAGGAATTTACTGGACATGCATTTTCACTGTTTCTGATAACTGATTTTCAAAACAAGATTTCCAGTGCACCCCAAACAGGATTCTCTCCCTGGAAAGGGTTAAGGCCAGAAAAAAAGCGCTTTTTTTGAGCTGGCAATTGCTGTCCAGCTGAGAACAGGAGTGAATATCACAGTTGTGAGGGGATCGGAGGGCTGGGGAGGGTGGTGGGGAGGGGTGCGTTGAAGGGGCACTACCCAATGATCAAGTATTGGGAAG